AAGTAAGATAGAATGATGCTCATTAGTGGTCATTGCCATTCTTGAGTCAGGATGTTGTCTACGAGCACCGCCTGACGAAGCACAGTACCAAGTACAAGTCTCCACGCACGATATCGGACACGGCCAGGTAATGTAAACAAAATTCCCGTTTTCTGTAGTTTTCTTGAAGTGACGATTCACAGGAGTAACGAAATCGTTAACTATTTAACCAAATAAGGGTACGAAGCGAAGTTGAGCGCCGGCAACCGCTCGCTAATTAAACCGAAAATCAGCACACACAAAAAAGGCTTCCGAATAGCGAGATTGGATTAAGTGCGTTTAATATGCGGCGTCTCAGATATAATTTTATACCATTAAGGGATCCCAGAGGTTAAAAATGGCCGCACAGCACATCAGGGGCTGTCTAGGTGGTGCTGCCGTCCAGCCCTGAGGCTAGACGGGGAGGAGCAGGAGCAGGAGGGAGAGGAGGAGGAGGAGGGAGAGTAGGAACAGGAGGAGGGAGAGTAGTAGGAGGAGGAGGAGGAGGAGGGAGAGTAGGAACAGGAGGAGGGAGAGTAGGAACAGGAGGAGGGAGAGTAGTAGTAGTAGGAGGAGGAGGAGGGAGAGTAGGAACAGGAGGAGGGAGAGTAGTAGGAGGAGGAGGAGGAGGAGAAAGGAGAAGAGGAGGAGGGAGAGTAGGAGGGAGAAGAGCAGGAGGAAGAGGATGATGAGGAGAGAGGAGGAGGAGGGAAAGGAAGAAGAGGGAGTGGAGGAGGATGAGGGAGAGGAGGAGGAAGGAGAGGAGGGAGAGGAGAAGGAGAAGGAGGAAGGAGAGGTGGAGGAGGAGGAAAGGGGTAAAGGGAGGGGGAATAAGTTCAATACATAAATGTTCGTAATAAGGCAAATAAGACACTGGAATATACTTATCGAAGCGTAACTAATAATTGTTCTTCAGCTATATCTTGCTCTAGTTAGGCCCCATTTAGATTATGCAGTTCAGTTTTGGTCGCCGTACTATAGAATGGATATAAATTCACAGACAGCGTCCAGCGTAGGATGACAAAGTTAATCTGGTAATTTAGAAATCTTTCATATGAAAAGAGATTGACAAAGTTTAAATTTACATTATCTAGAAAGTCGAAGAATTAGGGGTGACATGATAGAGATGTACAAGTGGATGAATGGGCATAACAAAGGGGATATTAATAAGATATTAAAAGTATCAACACAAAACAGAACACGAAACAATGGATATAAATTGGATAAGTTTAAATTTAGGAAAGACCTGGGTAAATACTGGTTTTGTAACAGGGTTGTATTGTGGAACCAATTGCCGTGTAACATAATGGAAGTAGGATCCCTTGATTGTTTCAAGCTTAGGGCTATATATATATATATATATATATATATATATATATATATATATATATATATATATATATATATATATATATATATATATATATATATATATATATATATGTCGTACCTAGTAGCCAGAACTCACTTCTCAGCCTACTATTCAAGGCCCGATTTGCCTAATAAGCCAAGTTTTCCTGAATTAATATATTTACTATAATTTTTTTCTTATGAAATGATAAAGCTACCCTTTTCACTATGTATGAGGTCAATTTTTTTTTATTGGAGTTAAAATTAACGTAGATATATGACCGAACCTAACCAACCCTACCTAACCTAACCTAACCTATATATATAGGTAAGGTTAGGTTAGGTAGCCAAAAAAAGCTAGGTTAGGTTAGGTTAGGTAGGTTAGGCAGACGTAAAAGCCTTAATTCATGAAAACTTGGCTTATTAGGCAAATCGGGCCTTGCATAGTAGGCTGAGAAATGAGTTCTGGCTACTAGGTACGACATATATATATATATATATATATATATATATATATATGTATATATATATAATATGAGTGGGTTTGGGTGGATATAAATAGGAGCGGCCACTTAAGGGCCATTAGGCCTTTCCTTGATTCTTATGTTCTTATTTTTATTCTTATGTTGTAAAGAAGAGGAAGAAGGTGAGAGGGAGATGAGATAATAGTCTGCCCAAGGAGATCCAGGCTTTTTGAGACCGGAAAATTACAACCAGTCATGTCAGGACTTGGGTGAGTAAGTTAAGGTATATGTGGTCTAGCAGAAGCCGCTACTCCACACTATATGTGGTCTAGCAGAAGCCGCTACTCCACACTATATGTGGTCTAGCAGAAGCCGCTACTCCACACTATATGTGGTCTAGCAGAAGCCGCTACTCCACACTATATGTGGGTCTAGCAGAAGCCGCTACTCCACACTATATGTGGTCTAGCAGAAGCCGCTACTCCACACTATATGTGGGTCTAGCAGAAGCCGCTACTCCACACTATATGTGGTCTAGCAGAAGCCGCTACTCCACACTATATATGGGTCTAGCAGAAGCCGCTACTCCACACTATATGTGGTCTAGCAGAAGCCGCTACACCACACTATATGTGGGTCTAGCAGAAGCCGCTACTCCACACTATATGTGGTCTAGCAGAAGCCGCTACTCCACACTATATGTGGGTCTAGCAGAAGCCGCTACTCCACACTATATGTGGTCTAGCAGAAGCCGCTACTCCACACTATATGTGGGTCTAGCAGAAGCCGCTACTCCACACTATATGTGGTCTAGCAGAAGCCGCTACTCCACACTATATGTGGGTCTAGCAGAAGCCGCTACTCCACACTATATGTGGTCTAGCAGAAGCCGCTACTCCACACTATATGTGGGTCTAGCAGAAGCCGCTACTCCACACTATATGTGGTCTAGCAGAAGCCGCTACACCACACTATATGTGGGTCTAGCAGAAGCCGCTACTCCACACTATATGTGGTCTAGCAGAAGCCGCTACACCACACTATATGTGGTCTAGCAGAAGCCGCTACTCCACACAATATGTGGTCTAGCAGAAGCCGCTACACCACACTATATGTGGGTCTAGCAGAAGCCGCTACTCCACACTATATGTGGTCTAGCAGAAGCCGCTACACCACACTATATGTGGGTCTAGCAGAAGCCGCTACTCCACACTATATTTGGTCTAGCAGAAGCCGCTACTCCACACTATATGTGGGTCTAGCAGAAGCCGCTACTCCACACTATATGTGGTCTAGCAGAAGCCGCTACACCACACTATATGTGGGTCTAGCAGAAGCCGCTACTCCACACTATATGTGGGTCTAGCAGAAGCCGCTACTCCACACTATATGTGGGTCTAGCAGAAGCCGCTACTCCACACTATATGTGGTCTAGCAGAAGCCGCTACACCACACTATATGTGGGTCTAGCAGAAGCCGCTACTCCACACTATATGTGGTCTAGCAGAAGCCGCTACACCACACTATATGTGGTCTAGCAGAAGCCGCTACTCCACACTATATGTGGTCTAGCAGAAGCCGCTACACCACACTATATGTGGGTCTAGCAGAAGCCGCTACTCCACACTATATGTGGTCTAGCAGAAGCCGCTACACCACACTATATGTGGGTCTAGCAGAAGCCGCTACTCCACACTATATGTGGTCTAGCAGAAGCCGCTACTCCACACTATATGTGGGTCTAGCAGAAGCCGCTACTCCACACTATATGTGGGTCTAGCAGAAGCCGCTACTCCACACTATATGTGGTCTAGCAGAAGCCGCTACTACTGTTATGCTACAGAAATGGCCTTGGAGTCTGTAGTAAACATATCATATTACTCATGATAACAGTTAAAGAAGGAGCAGTTTGGTGTGGTTGTCGAGGCCCGACAGCCTGGCATACGACCTGTCCTTCACAAGTCACACCAAACACATGAATGACACTGTCATATATTGCCTTAACTGGCTGCGAACAGCTGCTTTTAACAGCCTGGTTGACCAGACCAGTATGCAGGAGGCTTGGCCAGAGAAAGGGCCGTTGAGGCGTTGATCCTAGGAGCCACGACTAGGTAGCCAAGGTGAGATGGTTCCCCAGAATTAGTGTGTTTAGATCTGATCAACCGGACTGTTAGACGCCGCCGCAAATTTTTGACGTAGGTCGACACTTGTTGGTTTTGACACGTAGTTTGACACAACCCAGTTGATCAGATACCCTGTGGAGGTGTTAATCAAGTTCCCTCTTGCGCTCCGGAGGAGACCGACTAGTTATGTTCCTTATATTTAGTGGGAAGGTGTTGAAAAGCACCTTAATATTTATAGAATTTTACTCAAAGAAAAAGGTTACGGGATCACCATAGCCCGTGCTACATGGACACTTCGTTCTGAGTAGCTAAATCTATAATAACAGCAACAATCAAAGAAAATTTCCAAGGAGTTCTGGGGAAGGTAATGGTAACTTCTACTCACCTCCGAGGCCGGGGACGCTACACACGCACACACACACATCAGGCGGGACCAAAGAGCCAAAGCTCAACCCCCGCAAGCACAATTAGGTGAGTACATCACCTTATTAATTACTGTCAGTGTGCAAATATTGCTCATTGCGTGCTAAATGGTCAGTGTAGCTTTGACTTATTTCTAATGCATATTGTATTACCACATCTCAATGATACTATCTGCAGAAGTTTTCTTGTTGCTGAATGATCAATGATCATCAATACATGTTCCCAGAACCAACACATGCACCAAGAACCAACACATGCACCATGAACCAACACATGCACCATGAACCAACACATGCACCAAGAACCAACACATGCACCATGAACCAACACATGCACCAAGAACCAACACATGCACCATGAACCAACACATGCACCAAGAACCAACACATGCACCATGAACCAACACATGCACCAAGAACCAACACATGCACCAAGAACCAACACATGCACCATGAACCAACACATGCACCATGAACCAACACATGCACCAAGAGCCAACACATGCACCATGAACCAACACATGCACCAAGAGCCAACACATGCACCATGAACCAACACATGCACCAAGAACCAACACATGCACCATGAACCAACACATGCACCAAGAACCAACACATGCACCATGAACCAACACATGCACCATGAACCAACACATGCACCAAGAGCCAACACATGCACCATGAACCAACACATGCATCATGAACCAACACATGCACCAAGAACCAACACATGCACCAAGAACCAACACATGCATCATGAACCAACACATGCATCAAGAACCAACACATGCACCAAGAACCAACACATGCATCATGAACCAACACATGCACCAAGAACCAACACATGCACCAAGAACCAACACATGCACCAAGAACCAACACATGCACCAAGAACCAACACATGCACCAAGAACCAACACATGCACCAAGAACCAACACATGCACCAAGAACCAACACATGCACCATGAACCAACACATGCACCATGAACCAACACATGCACCAAGAACCAACACATGCACCAAGAACCAACACATGCACCATGAACCAACACATGCACCAAGAACCAACACATGCACCATGAACCAACACATGCACCAAGAACCAACACATGCACCATGAACCAACACATGCGTCATGAACCAACACATACACCATGAACCAACACATGCACCAAGAACCAACACATGCATCATGAACCAACACATGCACCAAGAGCCAACACATGCACCATGAACCAACACATGCACCATGAACCAACACATGCACCAAGAACCAACACATGCACCATAAACCAACACATGCACCAAGAACCAACACATGCACCATGAACCAACACATGCACCAAGAACCAACACATGCACCAAGAACCAACACATGCACCATGAACCAACACATGCACCATGAACCAACACATGCACCAAGAACCAACACATGCACCATAAACCAACACATGCACCAAGAACCAACACATGCACCAAGAACCAACACATGCACCAAGAGCCAACACATGCACCATGAACCAACACATGCATCATGAACCAACACATGCACCAAGAACCAACACATGCACCAAGAACCAACACATGCATCATGAACCAACACATGCATCAAGAACCAACACATGCACCAAGAACCAACACATACATCATGAACCAACACATGCACCAAGAACCAACACATACATCATGAACCAACACATGCACCAAGAACCAACACATGCACCAAGAACCAACACATGCACCAAGAACCAACACATGCACCAAGAACCAACACATACATCATGAACCAAGAACCAACACATGCACCATGAACCAACACATGCACCATGAACCAACACATGCGTCATGAACCAACACATACACCATGAACCAACACATGCACCAAGAACCAACACATGCACCAAGAACCAACACCACAATGGTGAATCAGTAGGCTCAAGAATCTGGGGCCTGACAGCTGAGTGGACATCGCTTCTTATTCGTAGTCCTGAGGTTCGATCCCCTGTGGAGGCGGAAACAAATGGGCAGTTTCTTTCCCCCTGGTGCCCATGTTCACCTAGCAGTAAATAGGTACCTGGGAGTTAGACAGCTGTTATGGGCTGCTTCGCGGGGAGTGTGTAACAAAAAGCGGCCTGATCGAGGACCGGGCCGCGGAGACGCTAAACCCCGGAATCATTTTAAGATAACCTCAAGAATCTGTACACCAGTAGTGACAGTTGAGAGGCGGGACCAAAGAGCTGAAGCTCAACCCCCGCAAGCATACCTAGGTGAGTACAAATTGGTGAGTACACAGGTATATATAAAGCGATGGGGGTAGAAATAGCCTAAGTTATATATATATATAAAACTATGGGGGTAGAAATAGCCTAAGTTATATATATAAAACTATGGGGGTAGAAATAGCCTAAGTTATATATATATAACTATGGGGGTAGAAATAGCCTAAGTTATATATATATAACTATGGGGGTAGAAATAGCCTAAGTTATATATATAAAACTATGGGGGTAGAAATAGCCTAAGTTATATATATAAAACTATGGGGGTAGAAATAGCCTAAGTTATATATATAAAACTATGGGGGTAGAAATAGCCTAAGTTACATATATAAAACTATGGGGGTAGAAATAGCCTAAGCTACCCTGTCTCTCTGAGATGTAATTTTTTTCTTGTCTCAATAAACACACTTGAACTTGAACTATAAAAAGATCATAGTCAACCGTTATCTAAATAAATTAAATTAGTTTGTGCTTAAGTTAATGGGTGTATGTGTGTGTGTGGGCGGGAGAGAGTACTAATACCTTAGCGGGTCCTGGGAAACTCCAGCGGCGGCCTCTCTGATGAAGCAGGATGCTCCCCGCTGAATAATGCATGATGGGAACTGCCTCGCACCAACGCTGCCTCGCTGTCCCCATTGGCCGCTGTCACGCCGGCTAATGGGGCCGGCTATTTCATAGAGCCACCACCAACAAGGCTCTGATCAACCAGGCTGTGATTCATACGTCTGAGCAGCCGCTGTCCAGCAGCCTGGTTGACCAGTTCAGCAACGAGGAGGCCTGGTCGAGGACCGGGCCACGGGGACGTGGAGCCCCGAATTCATGGTAAGGTAACCAACGCTGCCTCGCTGTCTCCATTGACCACTGTCACAGGAATTAATGCGCCGTAGAGCAAGCCCAAGTTTGGCGCCAAATGTATACTCTGAGTGTTGTTGTGAGCGTGAGAACTCTTACTCCTTGGCTTCATAGTGGTGAGCAGTGTTAGTGGGAAGGTGAGAGAAGTGGTGAGGGTGTTAGTGGGAAGGTGAGAGAAGTGGTGAGCAGTGTTAGTGGGAAGGTGAGAGAAGTGGTGAGGGTGTTAGTGGGAAGGTGAGAGAAGTGGTGAGCAGTGTTAGTGGGAAGGTGAGAGTAGTGGTGAGGGTGTTAGTGGGAAGGTGAGAGAAGTGGTGAGCAGTGTTAGTGGGAAGGTGAGAGAAGTGGTGAGCAGTGTTAGTGGGAAGGTGAGAGAAGTGGTGAGCAGTGTTAGTGGGAAGGTGAGAGAAGTGGTGAGCAGTGTTAGTGGGAAGGTGAGAGAAGTGGTGAGGGTGTTAGTGGGAAGGTGAGAGAAGTGGTGAGCAGTGTTAGTGGGAAGGTGAGAGAAGTGGTGAGGGTGTTAGTGGGAAGGTGAGAGAAGTGGTGAGCAGTGTTAGTGGGAAGGTGAGAGAAGTGGTGAGGGTGTTAGTGGGAAGGTGAGAGAAGTGGTGAGCAGTGTTAGTGGAAAGGTGAGAGAAGTGGTGAGCAGTGTTAGTGGGAAGGTGAGAGAAGTGGTGAGCAGTGTTAGTGGGAAGGTGAGAGAAGTGGTGAGGGTGTTAGTGGGAAGGTGAGAGAAGTGATGAGCAGTGTTAGTGGAAAGGTGAGAGAAGTGGTGAGCAGTGTTAGTGGGAAGGTGAGAGAAGTGGTGAGCAGTGTTAGTGGGAAGGTGAGAGAAGTGGTGAGCAGTGTTAGTGGAATGGTGAGGGTGTTAGTGGGAAGGTGAGAGAAGTGGTGAGCAGTGTTAGTGGGAAGGTGAGAGAAGTGGTGAGCAGTGTTAGTGGGAAGGTGAGAGAAGTGGTGAGCAGTGTTAGTGGGAAGGTGAGAGAAGTGGTGAGAGTGTTAGTGGGAAGGTAAGAGAAGTGGTGAGCAGTGTTAGTGGAAAGGTGAGAGAAGTGGTGAGAGTGTTAGTGGGAAGGTGAGAGAAGTGGTGAGGGTGTTAGTGGGAAGGTGAGAGAAGTGGTGAGAGTGTTAGTGGGAAGGTGAGAGAAGTGGTGAGGGTGTTAGTGGGAAAGTGAGAGAAGTGGTGAGGTGTGTTAGTGGGAAGGTGAGAGAAGTGGTGAGGGTGTTAGTGGGAAGGTGAGAGAAGTGGTGAGGGTGTTAGTGGGAAGGTGAGAGAAGTGGTGAGCAGTGTTAGTGGGAAGGTGAGAGAAGTGGTGAGCAGTGTTAGTGGGAAGGTGAGAGAAGTGGTGAGAGTGTTAGTGGGAAGGTAAGAGAAGTGGTGAGCAGTGTTAGTGGAAAGGTGAGAGAAGTGGTGAGAGTGTTAGTGGGAAGGTGAGAGAAGTGGTGAGGGTGTTAGTGGGAAGGTGAGAGAAGTGGTGAGAGTGTTAGTGGGAAGGTGAGAGAAGTGGTGAGGGTGTTAGTGGGAAGGTGAGAGAAGTGGTGAGGAGTACTCACCTAATTGTATTCACCTAATTGTGCTTGCGGGGGTTGAGCTTTGGCTCTTTGGTCCCGCCTCTCAACTGTCAATCAACTGGTGTACAGGTTCCTGAGCCTACTGGGCTCTATCATATCTACATTTGAAACTGTGTATGGAGTCTGCCTCCACCACATCACTGCCTAATGCATTCCATCTGTTAACTACTCTGACACTGAAAAAAATCTTTCTAACGTCTCTGTGGCTCATCTGGGTACTAAGTTTCCACCTGTGTCCCCTTGTTCGTGTCCCACCCGTGCTGAAGAGTTTGTCTTTGTCCACCCTGTCAATTCCCCTGAGAATTTTGTAGGTGGTTATCATGTCTCCCCTTACTCTTCTGTTTTCCAGGGACGTGAGGTTCAGCTCCTTTAGCCTTTCCTCGTAGCTCATTCCTCTCAGTTCCGGGACGAGCCTGGTGGCATACCGCTGAATCTTCTCTAACTTTGTCTTGTGTTTAACTAGGTATGGACTCCAGGCAGGCGCTGCATATTCCAAGATTGGTCTGACATAAGTGGTATACAGGGTCCTGAACGATTCCTTACACAAGTTTCTAAAGGCAGTTCTTATGTTGGCCAGTCTAGCATATGCCGCTGATGATATCCTTTTGATGTGGGCCTCTGGGGACAGGTTCGGTGTGATATCAACCCCCAGATCTTTCTCTCTATTTGACTCTTGCAGGATTTCCCCTCCCAGGTGGTACCTTGTGTTCAGCCTCCTGCTCCCTTCGCCTAATTTCATTACTTTACACTTTCCTGAGTTGAACTTTAGCAGCCATTTTCTCCAGTTTGTCCAGGTCATCCTGTAGTCTCTGTCTATCTTATCCGTCTTGATTCTTCTCATAATTTTTGCATCATCAGCAAACATTAAGAGGAATGAGTCTATTCCCTCCGGAAGATCGTTTACATATATAAGAAACAGGATGGGTCCAAGTACTGAGCCCTGTGGGACTCCGCTGGTGACATCTCGCCACTCTGATGTCTCCCCCCTCATTGTTACTCGCTGTTTCTTGTTGCAGTACTCCCTTATCCACTGCAGCACCTTCCCTTTTACTCCTGCCAATTGCTCCAACTTTTTTAACAGCCTTTTATGGGGTACTGTGTCAAAGGCTTTTTGGCAGTCCAGGAAAATGCAGTCGGCCCACCCTTCTCTTTCCTGCCTAATTTTTGTTGCCTAGTCATAAAATTCTAGTAAACCTGTGAGGCACGATTTACCATCTCTGAACCCATGTTGGTGGTGCGTTACAAAGTTATTTCCCTCCAGATGCTCTACGAGCCTTTTCCTCACGATCTTCGATCTCCATCACCTTACATGGTATACAAGTTAGGGAAACTGGCCTGTAGTTCAGTGCCTCTTGCCTGTCACCCTTTTTTGCATATTGGGACTACATTAGCTGTCTTCCAACTTTCTGGTAGGTCTCCT